TAGCGCTCATGCCAGATCACACCGATATCGGGCATGCGAAAACGCAGAGAACACATTGTCTGGTGCCAGAAGAAATCCTCAACCGTGGCAACCAGATTGCAGAGCGGTGGCGCGGCTGGTGATCCCATAGCGACTCCCCGTTCTTGGCGGAACAAGTATCCGTTGATCTCGAAGTGACTGTTGTCAATGACAAAGTCCAGAAGGTGCCGGAGATCTTGTTCATGAAAAGTTCGAGGGATCTTTGTTTGACGGCGCCATTTTCCTTTGAACATACGGCGTCGATGATCAGACTTTACTTCGAACACTGACCATTGAGAGGATCTGCGAAGGCCAACAACTTGATCGTACCGATGGAGAAGCACCTGTAGTGCCTGGTGGAAGCGTTCCGTAGGAATGGACGTGAAGAAGCCTGACAGGTCTTGTGACACCAGGTGGATGTATTCATCGGGATCTGCCTTTGACAGCGACTCCCACAGCTGCTGGACAAGTTCTTGTACTGAAAGTTGACCTGCAATGTCGGGAAAAGTAGCTTTGGTAAGTTCAAATATGAGGGCGCCGAAGACCGTGAGGAAGGGAGCTGCCCACGTGCGAAAGAATGAAATGATGGGTCGTGCTTTCTGCCAGTCCTTGGTCGGCTTTGGAAGGATGCGAGCTGTGGGCAACGGTGCTTGAAGTCGAAGTCCCCATGCATATCGCTGACGTAGGAGGGAAGGTACCGTAGTCACCACTTCAGAGCGAAAAGATGCTGCGGATTCACGGCATAGCGAAAAGACATCTCCCGAGCAAAAGGTCTTCCGCATCAGTATGGCAAACAGGGACGGACAAATCACATGTGCGCGGGAGGGGAAATGATCCGCGGGGATTACAACCCACGATGACAGAGAAGCCACGGTGCGCTGCAACGATGTCGATGACCAATAAGCACGATCTTGAAGGTTAGCTCGATGAGTGTCCATCAACTGAGTCAAAACCGGCTGCAGATCAACAAGAAGACTGGAACCATGCACATGCCAGCGACGAGCAAGTTTGCGAAGTTGCGTAGTGAAACGTTGATGTAACAAGTCGACATCACCGAAATACTGATCCTTCATTGACGCGGCCATGATTTCCATGTCAATGTCCGCATTGATGCGTGAGAACTCATCAACCATTACAGCATGTCCATGTGCTCGGTGTATATGGTGATCATCGATGTCCAAACAGCGACACGGAAAAGATGTTTCAGGAGTCCATCTGCGCTGCCATGTGCGGTAGTTGTAGATCTTGTCGCCCAACGTGGCACTGCGAGTTTCCACCACCCGGATCTTTGGAAGGAAAAGGGAGGGAAACAAATCACGATGAGAAGCAATCCAGCTTTGTAACCATGTGCCAAGTAGAGCTTTCCAATTCCGGACATGTAGAGGCGGTAGGAGTAGTTGTGTCAAAGTGGTGGGTGATTGTAGCTGTCGTTTGCGTAACACCTGGGCGAGGAGTTTCTGCGCCTTGGAGCGGAAGGGCTCGTTGACAAAGACGGAGAGCCGCAGAAAGTAGTAAAGCTGAGTAGGAGGGAAAGCTGCCGACAGAAGGTCACGCATGGCTTGGAACGATGCACCTGTATTGGATCCCAGCTGATAGAGAATAGAGTAATGGGCCTGAATGTCATCCAGCATGTCGGGACGTAGTTGCCGTTGAAGATCCGGATGTAGTCGTCGTCGAAAGCGTTTGTGCAAGCCGAGGGAAGTGGGAGACGACAACGAGTGACGTCGAAAATCAACGAGGTGTTCCCGGAAGCCCACCTTTCGCAGAAGTCTGTGTACCCAGGGTGCATTCAAATGCGGGCGTAGCAGGTATTGCCATTTGCTTTCCTGGACCCAAACCGAGGAAACGGGAAGTTTGATCTCAACCGGAACAGCACAGAAGAGCCAGTAAGTATTGGATCGCTTCCAGTAGTGAAGCGCGGGTTCGAAGAAGGCATGACGTCCCCGAAGTAGTTGTAGAAATTTGCGACTGCGTGAGTGTTCACGTCGTAGAATATCCTGATCAGTCGCACCAACGTAGTAAGGTGTGTGCCATGGGGAAAGTCGGATGTAGACGCACGGTTGTTGATGATGACCTGGATCGTGAATGAAGTCATAGAGGTCCGGAAATCGTGCCCGCAATGAGCGAAGATGTCGCGTGTCGGCAAAAGTGGAGTGCATAATTTCACACAAGAGAGAAGCCTTGTAGAAGTGAAGGACTTCAAAGAACGGCGGAAAGTAGCCATGATCTTGGGAAATGAGACGTTGTAAGAAACTGATCAATAAATAGGCAGTGCACCGACATCTATGAATCTCATACCTGTTGGCCACAGTGTGTTGAGAGTGTGACATAGCGTGATTCGGAATCTGAAGGGCAATCCGGACCACAACTAAGACTTCCAGAATGAGGCCCAACCACGGTAGTTGTGTGATTGATTCGTACTCATCAGCTGGTATCGACGGTGGTGGTAGTCCAGGGAAGCAGTATTGCCAGCACGTAGAGAACATGGTCAACGAGTGTAAAAAGTTGCCCAGAGACTGCCATTGTGCAACATCATCATAGATTCCACAGCGGCGAAGCTCATCCAACATGGTGAAAATGCAACCAATGAAATCTACCATAAGGCGGCGACATGGATACAAGCTGCACAGACAATCACGCACAAGGCAATGCAAGCACAACCAAGCACAAGATCAAACTGATGCAACGCAAAAAGATGACGGACGAGTTTTAACCTTGACTCATCCGTGACACGGTTGCCGCTCCGGGCTCATAAGAGAACGAAGGTCGTTAAGATGCCTGCTCATCCGCTGAGTAAGCGAGCGGTCACGATGAGGTGACTCAATGCCTTCTCAGTGAGCTTGGTGAGATAGCCGGGCTCCAGTCCCCACGAAGCCGCCATCGCCCCGAGAGTAGGAGCGTCGCCTTTCGGCATGCGTTGACGCGCTTGAAGGAGCTGCGTCGCCATGGAATCTAATGACTTGTTGCCGTTGAGCCGGGACGGGTGATTGGCCCACTTGACCAGTGACGTCAAAGTTGTGGTTGTGGGCGATTGCTTGAGATAAAGGCGTGGCTGGTCACTGGTCCATGTGAAGTACTTGACAACTTCTTCCGGCGTGCTGTGCATGGTGAGCAATTGTGACGCCGCCGGCTTGGACGGCGGTGAAGACACTCCGTGAAGAGACTGAATGATCCGGGGTTGCACCGCGCTATCAAACGACTTGCCATCAAGGGCCGCTGCGCTGACTGTAGGGAGGGAGCTGGCAGGTGACGAGGATTGTGTGTGGTTGACCGGTGGCGGTGTAACCAACTCTGCATCATCTTTCTGGCTTGCCATCGTGGGAGAGGTCGAAGCGCGCAGCGATGCTGAATACTGAGCCTGGAGCAGCTCATGCGCACGATTTGGATCATTGTACTTCTTGACCATGTCATCTGTCTGGGTGGAAGGTGTGAGAGAAGCGTGGTGTTGCTGAAGAAATTGAAGTACCAAGCTGGCCAAATGGTCATGAACCTTGATCCGCTGATTGAAGTCATCGATGTTGAGACCCAGCGAGTTGGCAAGGTCCTTTTCCAGGGTGAGCAGGTTGATCGACTGTGATCGTCGTAGTAGTTTGGAACAGGTACTCCAAAGTAAGGCCTCGGTGCGAGTGCGAAAGCCTTCCCATGTCACGAATCTGCCGTGAGCGAACGGTCGGAGCAGCCAGTTGGTGAGGCCCCCATGAATAACCTGAACCAGGCGAACGTCACGAATATCCATGCCTGACATGTCGCGCAGGTTGCCATGCGGAGTGTTGGCAACGGTCATGGGCAGGCTGAAGTTGTAGAGCTGATTGACATCAAACATGCCCTCTCCAGGTGTCCAGTCAGGCGATGGTGTAAGCCAGGCTTTCTGAGGACGAACCGGTAGAGCCGCAGGAGGTCCAGGTGGCGGTGTAGGTTGCGGGGTAGTGACCGGTGGTGGCATCACGGGTGGCATGAACTTCGTTGGCGTGGGGTCTGGAGGGATCGGCATCATGTAGTTGATTGCTGGATGTTGGAATTGCTGTGTGGGACTATGAGTCGATTGAAAATTGGTGGGCATCATCGGGAAATTGTTGGCAGAGTTGTAGCCGGAATTGTGTTGCCAAGATACCAGGTTGTTCCAATCCATGCCTTCCGAGACGTGGTGGTCATTGTGTTCACGTCGGTGTGCTTTACGAGCCTGAGGAGAAGTACTCCGATCACGTCTGCGCCGAGTCCTGGATCTATCACGATCATCACGTCGAGACATGGTTACACAATCGACTCTCAATCTTCACGCTTCCATCTTGAGAGACACGTATCAGACAACAAGCAAACTCCATGCAACGGCAAGGTATCAACGAATCCAACAAATGGCAAGCAAACGCAAACATCAGTGGTGAGACGTCTCTATGATCTGACCGCTGTCTTCCCTTTAGTGAAACCTCGTTCCTGGTTAAATGTGAAATTCCGCTGTTCTATGATAAGCACGTTGAGGTCAAATTTTCCGACAGAGCCGGCCCGGGGTCACACAATGGGTACACCCGAGGATTCCCCACGAATGGGGTGTACACACTTAAACTCCAAATGGAGAGTGCTAATCTTTCGAGTACAACTGAGGAGTCTCGAGTACAACTGATACGTCTCGAGTATGATGAGGTTCGACTCGCATAACGCTTGGCTTCCCTGTAGTTACTTTAACAGGGACACACAGAAGCAACGGCAGTTCAGGGGGGGGACCAAAAGGACATTCAGAACAACACAACCATCTCGGCAGGTACGTCTGACTGATCAGGTCAGATATCAGCGCAGGTCACGACCCTCTTCGTTGGGTCACCGGTCGTGACTGCGGGTGACCCCCCTGCTGAGAAACCGAAAGGGTGGTGACAGGGCATTCTGTCACTCCGCGCACACACACACACACTCCTATTTGGGAGGTCCAAATCCCAAACCAATCCAAAAACCCAGCAGAGGGGTGACCTGACTTTTTTTTTGGTTGCCAGGCCCTTGTTGTACTTTTGCGGCGTCATCACCAGCTCCGGGGAGCACTCGGTGAACTTGGACGACCCCATCTGCGTCTCGGAGTGCCCCTCCGAGGGCTCCAACGTGGCGGCGTTGGAGGGGGGGTGCCAGGGCTATTCCTACCCCACCACCCAGGCGGGGTACACGAAAGAACGTCAGCAGCTTCCTTACTGGGTTCTCTTGAAGCCTCCAAGAAAACATGGGCCCGTTTTTTTTTGGAAAGCCATTTTAGTTCTTGGAATGTGGAGCTCCAAGTTTTTGGGCCACTGCCGGGGTCTTACAATTTTCTTTTTTGGTCTACCCTTCCCTCCCTCCAACCATCGTGGAAGTTGACAGGTTTTGGAGGACTGTTTTCTTCTTTTTCTTTTGGGGCACGCCCCTGTCCACTTCCATGATATTGGAGGGGGGTACCTTTTGGGTCAAGGCTGGCTGAGCGTTCCTTTTGCGGGTGATGCTCAAAGAGGACATGAAAACAGAACTCTCGTGTCAAGGTTCCAAAAGCTGATCACCGTTTATTTCCAGGCCCTTTGGGTAAGTAATGGGTTTCGTGTGAATCTGGGCAGCAAATTGGGTCTTCTGTTTTGGCCCAACCTTCCCTCGCAATGCATTTCCCCCAACCCCTCCAACCTCTTAACCTTCACCTCCTCCCTAACCTTCACTCCCCCATCCCCTGAACCTCCTCCATCCCCTGAACACCCCCAACCTGCCCCCCCCCAAGCACCTCCCCAACCTGCCCCACCTTAACCCCCCCCCCCCAAGCACCTCCCTCCCCAACCATCCCCTTGGCCCTGCAGGTGGGAAGCCGGTACTGCCTGCCCTCGGGCAGTGCGGAGGCCAAGAGCCGCGAGGTGGTGGACCGGGAGATGAGGTCCATGTCCTCGGAGGTCTGGAACATCATGGGCCGCGTCACGCAGGTGCCCTGGTGCCGTGGTGGGCACTGATTGGGGGGGGGGAGAGGCTTTCGGCTTTCGAGGGGGGGAGGGGGAGGTAGTGGGGAGCTTCGGGTTGAGGTGTTTCGGGGGGGAGGTGGGGGAGAGGTGGGGTGCTTGGGGTTGGTTTGAGCAACCCTTCGGCAACAAGTTCATCCCATCCGGGGTTGGGTTGGGTGGGGGGTGGGGCTCTGCTTTGAGAGAAACGGGTCCAAAGCAGAAGGACGTTGTTCAAGCAAAAGTGAATTGTTCCATGCTTAAGAAGCATATCACATACCACCCTCGATACTCAGCGGGCGCCTTTCACCGGGAGGCATGGCCGGTGCTTTTGCTCTCAGTGGTGGTGGCCTGCCTCATGGGCTATGTGCCCCCGGACTGACAAACTGGGGCGTGTCGCCGGGTGCCGAAACGTGTGGAGATATCTTTTTCTCAGATGAGCTTGAGGGCTTCGAGCGAAGTTTCGGAGGGTGGGAGAGGTTTCTGAACAAAGCTTTGGGGATGTCACTGTGGACCCCATCGATGGTGGTCTTGAAGAGGTTACATGTAATACCGGGCCCGCCGGGCCCCTGTTGCTTCTTTCGCAAAGGGAAGCCATAAGAACTCCTGTAACTTCCGGAGGATATATAGTTCCATTTGTTTTTCCGTTTCAGCCGCTGGCAACAAACACAGCCTTTCAAAACATGAATCACCTGTTGCCCAGCTTTGATGGAGGTTAGCTTTGATGGAGGTTAGCTTTGATGGAGGTTGCTGAGTGGGTACACTTGCCGTTTGAACATATCTGCGTGAAGAGTTCGCCTAGTTTCCACCACCCAGAGACAAAGTACTTGAAGGTTGGGAGGTTTCTCCTTGTTTTCTCTTCAATGGCTGTGCCTTTCTGTGTTGATTCACCTGGCGGCACATGGATCAAGACAGTGGCACGCAACCAGAAGGCTGAAAATGAGGCGACGGAAAGGACACGCTCGCCAAGGAAACGCGGGAGCTGGCGCCATTGTTTTGCTGCAGAGAGATCAAGATTGATTCCACAAGATACAAAAAGGTAACTCGAGGTAAACGAACCGCCCGGAAGCCACGCAAAGCCGCGAAGTCGAGATCGCTGTTGCTTGTTTGGGGGTGACTTGAAAGCGAAAAAGGGAAAGGGTTTCGTTTCTCTTCCCCAAACCCTGACCTCTATTTTCATCCATGTTTTTGTTTGTTTGTTTGTGGGACCCCGAACGTGTTGGTGGTTGTTTCCCTGCTACGAGAGTTCCGTGGCTCGGGTTTTGAGTCGTAGGTTTCTGTCGGGAAAACGGTGGGCAAGGGTTCCTTTGGGTTCAGAATTTTCAGATTTAAAAGAAACTCCAAAAAAACGCCCCATTTGGCCACACAACTTCCTGATCTTGAGAACTTGGAGGCATGAATTGGGCGTCAGGCTGGGGCAAACCGCAGGTCTTGTGTTTCCATAGACCAAGACCACATGAGACACCCTCGCCAAGGACACGGAACTCAACCAGCCACAACAGCAGATCGGATTGATTGCTTTTCTGCGGCGAGATCATTGGATTGCCTACACAAGACAAAACAAGGTACTGTAACTCGAGGTAAACGAAGCGCCCGGAAAGCTTCGGCAAAGACGAGATCGCCGTTGCTTGTTTGGGGTGAAAGCGAAGGCAGTCGTTAAGCGAAGGCATTCGTTTCTTTTCAGGCCCGGACCTCCATTTTCTCTATTTTTTCTCTCTAGGACCCCAACCTGGCAGTGTTTTCGTGTTTTCCATCTGGTTTCTCCCCAAAGACTGAGTCGCAGGTTTCTGTGGGGAATAAGGTGGGTTGGTTTCAGAATCCAGATTTGCGTGGGTCGGTTTGTTTGGGAGACAGTCATAGTTTTTCTAGATGTCTGTTGGTGTGTGTGGGGGGGTGGGTTTGTTTTGGGCGGCGGAACTCGGACTTCGGACTACCCTCAAAAGACAACGACCCCCCCTCACAGATTCCTGATCTTGAGAGCTTGGACCCACGAGTTCTTTGTTTCCATCAAGGGAGTCCGTTTTTTGCGCCATCAGGTTCCTCTTCATGCTGAAGACGCTGACCAAGTGCATCATCTGGATCTGCGCCATCATCGGGTTCGCGGCCTTCGCGGGATTGGGGCTGTACTTGTGGGTGGAGGCCGGGCAGAAGGCGGATCTCTCCACCACCTTCAAGGCCGGACGGGGGGGGGGGGGAAGGGGGTTTGGGGGGTTCGGGGGTTGTGTTTGGTTGCTTTGACCCTCAGGGTTTCAGGAGGCTTTGGGGGGTTCGAGGTGTTTCCTTTTTGGGTCTTCGGGATCTTATGTGAAGGTCACAGGAGAAGCTAAACATTTTCAGTTGGTTTCGGGGGAGCGGGGGGGTGGTACAAGAATAGCAGGAGCCCGCAGGCCACCGTGGCCCCCCGCTGTTCTTTTGGAAACCCATCTTTGTGGTTTTCGGTTGGTTTCATGGTTGTTGGTTTTTCTGGTCTTCTGTGATACGAAGGGAATCCAATGCCTTTTTAAAGTGGCAAATACTGCCACTTTGGTACCACAGATTTTGCGTGATTTTCCCACAACCATGTTGGTTTGCCAACGCGCTCCAGATTCGGGTTGTTTTTGCAGGATGCTTCCCAGGTTTCCATGCAGGTCTTTTTCTTTGGGGGGGGGGGGCACTTTTGGTGCGGAAGCAGCGCACAATGAAGCCGCTTCTGCGAGACAAGCCATTTCCATGTCTGCTTCTTTGGGTTTATTGTGTTGCTTTTAGGAAACTTCCTCCTTTGAGCGGAAGGAGCTACAAGCTCAGGTCGCTGTGCTTGGGGCTCCAGTCTGGACCATCAGAAGGGCCATTTGGGTAGGTGGTTCTACTCCCTTGGATTTGGGAGGGCCAGTCCTTGAAGTCCATTGCAGTAGAACCAGCGCATTGCGTTTTGGGCGCTTGAGAGTCAAAGAACGGTGTGAAGTTCAGGCTGGGTCCCCTGGTCACAGATAGCTGCGGCGAAGCCCTTCTGAAGTTTCACTGTCTTGGGTCGACCCCAGTTCTTCTCGGAATGGTGGGGAGCTAATAGCCCAATCCTAACGTGGTACGAGCGATTCCACAGGCAAAGATGTCCGGTTTGTGTGGAGTAGTTTGAGGGCGGTTCTGGTTTTCTTTCCAAGCTCGAACATAATCAGACATTCAGTTCAGCGCTCGCAATCCTTTCAACCAGGAGTTCCCTCTTTTGCCCCCTTGCTGGCTTTATTCCCCCCTCTTGTTTTAAAGGCCACGATTTTGTTGCTCAAAGGTGGGGTGATATTGATAGGTTGGACATGCAAGCAGGGAGCCCAGCCACAAGCGCGGCTTTGAGCGCGGGCTCATTTTGGATCTTGGGGCTGCTTTGGGCGGTTCTGATGAGGTATGTCACATTTTCGAGTTTGGACCGGCTCAAGGGCTTTCAAGAAAACACCGAAACATCGTTTCCTAGCGAATGCCAGGGTTTGCGTGGTACTTTTTTTGTTGAAATTCCTTGAGGGCGGATTCACACTTCGATGGCCCATGCGGGTTGCACAGTGGTTCCAAAGCCCCAAGAAACGACCTGTAAGACCTTCTCACCACTATTTGGCCAACCAGCGCAACCGCTCCATGTTGGAACAAGAGTTTCTCCAAATCGCGGGTTCTGTTGGTGGGTTCTGGTGGGATCTTTCTGGGCAAGAGCCAGGTATAAACCAAGGAAGCCAGGAATAGAAACCCCTGCCAGGTGCTGGCCAGTATCTGCTGGATCTTGCGCCTTGGTTTCAAGAGGCTCCATCTGGGGAAATGGGGGATGGGTATGTGGCCAAATGGGTCTTTGTTAAATGGAACCCCTTTTTGGTTGGTTTTAAAGGGAATCCAAAAGGAAGCCCATTTTGGGGTTTACTATACCAAGGCACACCCAAATAGGGATTTGCACTCCCATTGGCTTTCCTTTGCGTTCCATTCCCTTCCATTCCAGGCCATGCTATCCCCCGTTATATTTTCATTACATTCCATTGTATTAGTGCATTTGATTGAATTGCATTTTAATTCGCCAGAGGAAACCCATTTTTGCCACAAGGAAATCTAGGGCAAGCAGTCTCTTCTTTGGCTCAACGGGACACGGCACGTATCATTCCCCCTTGGGTCATCTTTCTTGTTTTCTCCAATGGTCTTGTTTTGGGGCCTGTTTAACGGGGGCACCCAATAGGACACCGCACCTTTTGGTGGTTCCCCATTTCAGACGCAGCCACTTAGATTCTGCACGTGGGGTCCAGGCAAGCCACTGCTTTTTTGGGAATTGGTTTCTTCGTAACCACCTTGGTTAGCCACGGCTGTTTTGGGATTCTTTCGGCTGCTGGCCGATCCCTCCCTTTAGCGGCCGGAGCGGAAGCCGAGGGCCTTCCTCACCGCGTGCCTGGTCTGCTGCTGTGGCCAGGCCCTAGACCTCTCCACCGCGTGCATGGGCCAGGCAGAATGGGAAGCCGATGGGTGACTGGGTGATCACCTTGTCATTCTTTTTCTTCTTCTTTTTTTCCCTCAATTTTTCATATTGTTTTCAATGTTATTATTATTATCATTATTATCAAGAGGCCGGTGGCTGAATTGGGGCTGGGCCCTCGACTAAAACGATGATGGTAGTTCAAATTATCAGGTCTAATTCAAGGGTTAAATATTGGCCAAGCTTACCGGTGGTTTTCATGAGCGCCTACTTGTTTAGGTGGCTCTACTGCCTGGCTTCATAAAGCTTATGGTAAGGCAAAACCGTAACACACACACACA